ATTTCACCAAAATTATTTTTCACACATGATCTTCAAAAGAATGGTGATATCAATGTGCAGCAGATTCGTTCAAGTGATAATATGACTGATTTGTTCACAAAATCTCTACCGACGTCAACCTTCAAGAAGCTAGTGCACAAGATTGGGATGCGAAGGCTCAAGGATGTGAATTGATGCTCTCATCAGGGGGAGTTAATGCGCGTTGTACTCTTTTTTCCTTACAAGGTTTTGTCCCACTGGGTTTTCCTTGCAAGGTTTTTAACGAGGCAACCAAAAGGCGTATTATTAGATATGTGTACTCTTTTTCCTTTTCTAGATTTTTTTTCCCATTGGGTTTTATTTTAATTAAGGTTTTAATGAGGCACATTACTTATCGAGTAAGCATTCAAGGGGGAATGTTATGAATAGAATTCTATTTAGAGTGAATGTCTATCTTGTAGAGAGTTTTACCTTGTGGCTAAGTCATTTTCTCCCCTATAAATAGAGGGGTCCTACCCCGTTGTAAATCATCCCAAAATTCAATAAGAATTTCCTCTCTCTCTTTCTCTGCAATATTGTTCTTCTACTTTTATTGTTTTATTATATTATTCATGTATTAAAAATTATGGTATTGTTAATGCCATAGTTTACGATGCATAAGAATAGTACTGAATAAAGTATATAACAAATAAATGTATTAGTTATGCATATATTGAAAAACACTACCTAATAAGGTGAAAAACACTACCAAATAAGGGATTAAATATACTGAAGCTAATACTTGTATTTCCTTAGCACATCTTACCAAATGACCCCTTAGTATCGAGTATCTCCATCTAGCCCATCTTGCGGAAACTTCGAAATTCAATCCGGTATTGCATCTTCTACAATATAAAAAATAAATGTCGGGTACCTTGTCTATTTGTTTTTTTTTCTTCCGGCCTCTAATGTGATTTTTTAACTAGTCCCATGTTCTTCAGTTCAACTTTATCGTTCGTTAAGCTACACTTTTTGATGCGATATAGTATACGATGATTTAAAATTGAAGATACACCCTCTTTGGTTCCGAAGTGACCCACAACATACCGAAAGAGAAGATGCACTTTATTTATTTACTATTTATATTATACTAGTTAATTTGACCTCGCTTCTCGCGGTTGCAAAATATTATTATTTCATCACGAAATACTTTTTAGTACTCGAATATTACAAATAATTTAAATTGAGCTTTGCGAAAACTAAAAATATTTTTAATTTTGCTTTGAAAGATAGTCGANCTTTTTAATAATTATTTATAGTTTTTTAAAGTATTATACTCAAAGACTTTTATTATTCTAGTTTAGATATATTTAATTTTTGCTCAATTAGAAATTATAAATTAAATAATTTCTAAATAAATTAAATAATTTCTGAAAATGGAAAGAGGAGAAAATACTATTAAAAAAAGTTCATTTTCTTATTTTAAAAATAGGTGAGTTACTTGAACTTGTTTTATATTTAAATACAATATTAGCTTCAATAGATAAATTTCAAATGGAAGCTAACATATAGAAAGGAGAGAGCCTCATGACACCAATTTCAGCCACTAATTTCAATTAACGAATGACTGATTTCAATTATGAAATAATCTCAACCGAGAAAATCAATATTACCGCTCATGAATAGTTCAAATTAGCACTATCAGGAGCCTACTCAAACACCATTTGTGAATATCTCTCTATTTAAATCTCAAGTTCTGAACACTACACTATTCCAAATAAATATGCACATTCTTTTGTATACATCCAGTGCATCTCCATCACTAAAGATCTTAACGAAAACTTACCTCTTTCCAAGATGATGTTACCTTCCTCATAATAACATATGTTACATATTCTAATGATTATTTGAAACTCAGCATAGAAAAAAAATCTTAACAAATAAAAATATCATCATTTTTAAGAAAAGTGAAGATGCCAATATAAACCTGGCCAATTGGGAAATGTAAAATTTACACTTGACTAACGTCCGCGCATAAGAGAAAGCCTTTCTAGATCAAAGCTACAATATCAAGGATCTCTCTGTCCTTGCGCCCAAATTTCAGGCTTCAAATCTTGTCTTCTGAACCTGAAAACAACCAAGTTTATGCAGGATATTTGTGAAATCGGTACAACTACAACTGCTATATTAACAAAAAATCCCAAAAATACTTATATTTTCTAGATATCAGATAGAGAGAAACAAAATATGTAGAAATCAAGATGTGGACTGGAAATATGCAAAACAGTAATCTACATAAGGTTGAAATTCAAACGCCGACATCCATTCAAATGGGATAAGTAAGTAAAGGAGTAAAAAAATGCATGTTTGAACGAAGGTAGGAGAACAAACTTTTTAAAAAGGGGAGAGGATGCATCCACTCAATAGAGATGGACAAAATGTTTGAAAGATGACCAATGAATTTTAAAGTCAAATATGAAAAATCTTTTCTGTTACGTACCATTTGCTATATAATTGCTACGGATCTTTTAAAATGTGGCCGTTGGGTTCTGGAGGAACGGTTGGTTATCAGTTGTAATGGCTTTTGGAATTCATTTTCAAGAGACATGACTTTTGGAATCCTACATTATTAAATTTTTTTTTTTTAAAAAAAAGAATGGGTGGGAGAAATAAGAAAAAATGGAGAAAAAAGATAATTTGAAATCCAGGCTTAGAAGAGTGCCACGTCACCGGGCTAATGCCCCTCAATTATAGATATATATAGATTTGACAGGTATCAAGAAACACTGTGTATATAAAATGTCACTCAAGATTTCTAAGACAAATTAAATCGAACCATAATCTAATACTGCTCATCAGTCATCATTTTATTTCCCAAAAAAAAAAAATGGTATTACTTATAATCAGTTAATAGCAAAAAAACAATTTAAGAAAAAAGGTTAGCGCCATTAGGAAATGATTGATTTTAGCACGAAGCAAAGCAAAGTGAGGCAACGTGGAGACATTTCAGCGAGAAGGCAATTTTGTGGTTGATAAACACCACACATAGTAGTAGCCTGCCTATTATTCCAAATAACAATTGTACGTTCCTACCTTCCCCTGCAATACAATGGAGGGAGTATTGAGGCCTGTGGTCTCAAAAATTTCAGATGCCAAACCAATGTTCAATCTTCAGGCCTTTCCCTTAAACAAACATTTTCTTCTTATGAAACGAAACAAGCAATTAAGGAAGCCGTCAATCAAAGCCTCCGCCACCGAAGAAATTACAGCACTTACTACTACTTCAGACCCAGATATCACTTGGCAAATTGTTGTTGGCTCTTTGGGTAATACAACTCTACTGTTTTTTTTGAATTTTGCGATTAAGCACTTTATTTATTTACTTACTATTTATAATTGCCTTTTTAGTTCTTATTCTACTTTATTGTTTTTCCTGGGATAACGAATTAGTGGATGACTTTTGCAGCCGGTGTGACACCTTTTGTGGTTGCGGGAATCGAGTTCAGCAAGAGAATTGTTAAGTGCCAGTTCTACGTTTCAATTGAATATGTGCTTCGTTTTCAAAAATCTGATTGCTTGTCCCTTTTTAATATGGCAGGTGAAACAAAGGAAATGTGAAGTATGTGGGGGCTCAGGACTTGTTCTCAAGAACAACAAGTTTTATAAGCGATGTCCTGATTGTGGTACTATATATCCTACTACTCTTACTCTGTTTTTCAAATCCAAATGAACATGCACTAGAACGAACATGTTTTCATTTGTTTTCTTTGATATGAATTAATTAAACAGGTGGATTTCTACCCTGGCAGTCTTGGAGAAGATTCTTCACTGGTTAAATCTTTGTGGAAGCTTCACGCCAAGTTTGATTATCCACTCTATACATGTACTATACTAGGAAAAAGAAAATTCTCGACATGGATCTTCTTGTACATCAAGCATAATTTGGCTTTGGTGTTCTTTCCAGTATACTGTTTGTATTCATTTACATATACAGTCAGTTACCAAGCTGCCTTAGAAACTGGAATAACACTACTAACTCTTCTTGATTAATAGTTTTAAAAAAAAGTAAGGAAATATGAATTAATAAATCCATGACCACCCCCACCTTTCTTTCAGCCATCCCTATGAGGTTATGCCCCGCTGATTGCTAAGTGCTAACGGGTAAAAATTAGGGAAATTACCAGCTATGTCCATTTATAAGTAGCTCATTACTAAAATTGGTCAATTGATAAAATATTACTAATATTAGCCAATTAGTTATTTGTAGCAAAAAAATATCAAATTTTTGCTTTGTTTTGAGTGAGTTCTATTAGAATAAATTGGACACAACTTAAGGAGCTTGAATGTCAGTTTTGAGATGATTTGGTGAAGTTTTGAGGTAGTTTGAATTAAAAATCGAAGTAAAAACTGAACATAAAAAAAATGATATGTGCATCACACTGTGTATCATTTGTGTATCATATTTGTATCAATTATGTATCACATGTATATCCATGTAACCTGTGTGTGAGATACATGTGTCGCAGAAGACTTTTTTGATACAAAACCAGTCCAAATCACCTCCAATCTTCCTCAAATTTTGTATATTGACTTATCTATATATTTTCAATGAATTTCAACTATACCCATTGAATAAGTTCCTTTTTTGTTTAGATTTTTGGAATATTGTATATATTTTTGTATTTCATCACCTTATTTGCTACCTCATTCATGAAATTTTCTTTCCGTTTTGTATCTAGTATTGCTAATCACGCTTAAAAATATGGAAGGTGATTTTTGCATGTGATTATTTGAGAGAAATAACCCTATTATTTGGTTTTTCAATTTTTGTTGGCCAGTTTTAAGTCTATGACTAATGGCTGGAGGTTGGTAAATTGAGATTTATTTGGGACATTTGTGTAAGTTTCCGTAAAAATTACCTTCACCAGGTATTTATACCAAATCATATTAATTTATCATGATTAAGTGATTAATTAAGGTGAGTGTGTGTATTAATTAACTATGATTTAGTAATAATTATAGTTGTGAAGACATATGTCGTGTATTTATTGGTTTGATATAAATTGTACACATGATTTTAAGCAAATGATGTCAGCCTATATTAGCAGGAGATTATCAGGTACCTAGGTTTGAACCCCCTATTTAAGGTATACCTGTTTTTCAAACGCTTTCGGGGAAAATACACACAAAGCCTTGCATGATCATATGCAAATAGTAAAACTTGCGCAAAACACTTAAACGAAAAAGGATGTAAAGATCAAACTTGAGTAAATGTTTAAACAAAAGTACGCAGAAAGGAAAACTTATACAATACTTGAGCAAAAAGTATTTTTATTTACAACGAATGTGCCAAATGGCACAAGTACAAAAGTTGGGAAAAGAAATCAAAAATTAAGCTGCTACATCTTTGGAACCTGGAGGGAGAGAAGCATCCGCGCCCCAAGGAGAAGTGGGTAGATCCGTCGTCGGCTCGATGTCTTGGCCTTCATCATTTTGGCCTTTAGCATCATCGCCTTTCGGTTCCTTTTCAGTTCCCGAGAATTCAGAACCTAAACTAGAAGAATCGGTAGCATCAGGCTTGGCCGGAAGACCCCTTTTAGCGGTTGACTCCAGCTCGCAAGTGTTAGCGATGTCGACATCAAAGCCAATGACACCTGCTTGATCACTTCCAAGTTTTTTCTCCTCATGCTGTACATAGCATATGTTTTTTCAACAACGAGGGAAACCGCTTGGTGCTTGAGATCTTTTTTAAGTTGGTCGACCTTGGCAGAAAGATTTTTCCGTGCGGATCTAACAGACCGGAGGCTGACATCGAGATCATGGACAATAGAGCTGAAAAGTCCATTATGCTCAATGGTCTTCTTATACTTCTCCAATTGGGCATACTTCACCCTGGCGACAACAAGCTCTTCAGTTTTGGAGTTCAAGGCTGCCTCCAAATTATTTAATATTTCAGCGAAGGCAGCCTCGTGATCGGATGCAGCAAGAACGACACTATGGACTCCAGCCCATTTGGCCCTAGCCTCTTCAAATTGAACCCTCAATGGAGCGATCTCTTGGCTAAGGATCTCTACTTCTTCTCGCTCTGCTGCAACCGAGCCTCCAACACAACAACCTCAACAGCTTTAACTTCAGATTCTGAGAGGTGAGCAGTAGTTTGGTCCCGCTCGGCCAAAAGTTGATCCCACTCGAAGGTAAGTTCCTCCTTATCTCGAATCAACCTTTGGAGGCCCTCGGAAGCAAGAAAATTGGCCTGCAAAAAAAAGTGCAAACTCAAAATTACTATTATAGCAAATATAGAAGAAATAGCGAAGGGAACGAAGAATATACCGTTGCGGCATTGTTCAACAAACACTCTCCCGAGAGAGCTTGTATCTTTTCCCAATCTTTTTCTAAAGCCAAAGGCTTCATACAGTTAGCAAGTTCCACTGGCAAGACAACATGGTGCATTCAGTAGAGATCGAGAGAGTAACACTCCTCATCTTTTGCGGATTTTCTTAGGGGGCGGCATAATTTTGCCCCAAGTTCCCATGAACTAGGAACTGGGGAGAGGGACATCCTCTTCTCAGACAGTTACGGCCGGTGGAGAAAATGTAGCAATTGCTGGTGAAAATGGTAGAGTTGGTGAAGAAGGAGATGAAGCTGATGACATTGAAGGATGAGAAGTAGCTGCGGCAAGAGCAATGCTGGTTGTTGGTTGCTCGTCAACCGAAGACGACAGGGACCTAATACTCGGCCTCACTGTATCGGGCATAACGACTAGGATCCGGAAGCTGGAGTTGGCATTTTGCACCATCTCAAACTTCCCCCAGAGGCATCGTCCTCGGTTTGTGTAACTAACTCAACAGATTGAGCAGTCTGTTGAACTGAGGAAGGTCTTCGTCTTCTATGTAGAGAATTCCCCTCCTTGCTAGATGCTCCATCATCATCAATCATCACGGTGCCTATGGTCAGCCCGGGCGGGGGGCTTGTCACCATAACTTTTGGAGACGACTCGGGAGCGACATTCTTCGCTCTCTTATTGTTTTCCTCGACCGCAAAAGAACATCTTCTCTTTAGTTGTTTGTTCTCCGGTTGGGGACTCCGGCAAGAAGCACTCGCACCAGAATCAGGCCCGGAGATACATGTCTGTGTAGGAGCCTCGCCGCATCAACATGATTAGACAAAACGTCCTTCTCGGGGACGATAACTGAGCCTTGGGGTAGACCTGAATTCAATAGGAGAGAAGGGTCAAACAACTTCCTTATATGAATAGGTAAAAACAAGATAAGTTCGACTTACCATAATTTTGGGCTTCCACCCGTATTTAAGGGAAAATTCTTTCCACGTGGGGGTTTCGGGCATGGTAACATCCAATTTTTTTTGGACCCATTGGTCCAAGCCTTCAACCCTAGGTGGAACCCACCGAGTCGCTGAAATAAGTAAAAGAAGAAGGGTCAATAATGATGTGGAATGATCTTTAGCAGAAGAAAAAAAATGATAGACTTGCAAGTGTGGTTCCATAATTCTGGAAAGGCTGGAGCTGTGGCCGGGATGATGTCACTGGTGGCAACTGAAATGAACCCTTCCATCCACCCATGGTCATTGTCATCATCCATGCTAGATAGCAGAGCATGGTTGTCGCACTTGCTGAAATTTATCATTCCCCCGCGGAAGATCTTGGGGAATAGAGGTTCATCACTCGAGCTAGGGTTAGCTCTTCTTCCCTCTCCTAGCACAGGCGCCGAAGACAAGCGATTTTTCTCCACATAGAAGGACTTACTTATGTCAAGCACACTTGGTAGCGGAGGCAAAACTCCACGATGACGGAGTCAAGCTCTCCACTCAAAGAGAACTTTCCGAAGTGAAGGGATACGTGTAAAAATACATAAAACCCTTCTTGGGTAAGGTTATCCGTTTCGCCAGGTAGGGAGCAACAATTTCCAAATCTTGATAGTGGCAGTCTTCCTTCACAGCAGAGATACTGAAAGAAGGGTATACACTAATAGCTCACGTACGAGGCTGAGCAAAATGATACTTCTCTTCAAAATCTTTGGTAGTGACTAGCTTCTTTGGGATGATGGTGCTCACCGTAGGAGGAGCAACATCATCAGCTTTCCCTTTGTTCTTTGAAGAACTAGGGTTTTTGGAAGAAAACTCCATTATTTATCAGAAGGAAGGTTTTCTCTCAAAGAAGAAAGTTAAAGAAAGGTTAAAGACGGAGTAAGAGTTGAGCAAAGAAAGTTTGAGAAAATTTAGAGTATTATGAAGTGTAAATGAAGGAGGTTGATGCGTATAAGTAAGGTATAGGCAGCTAAAATCGTGGCCATAATTACCTCGATAATTGGGAAAAGTGATGCTAAATCATGGGATGACGCATGTTCGGGGCATTAAATACGTAGAGACGTACGTCTAATCAACCGTCAGAAACTTTTCAGAGGGGGTTAGTGAATTTTCCGACAAAAAAAGTATTTCTACCAACTTCCCAATGACACAAAGTTATGCCACCGGAAAGCAGGGGGACTATCTGTATAGGATAATATATGTTTATATTAAATGATAGTATGAGGAAGTGACACGTGGAGCCGAAGATAGGTGAATCCGAAGGCAACGATCTTGTGTGTTACCCGAGAGAATGATACTCATAAAAATGAAATAAATGCCTGCCGCTCGATAGCATCTAATGAGGAATATTCTACATCATTAAATACGCGGCCCGTTACAAAGAATATGACATTCACTGCCTGCCGTTACACATTCTTCAATGGCCCTCATAATTGACATTAAAGAGGAGGTTGATCCTAGGACCTTGTTCCTTAGGTGCAATTATAAATAGTGAGCTCTATTATCATTGTAAAGGATACGAATTATGTGAGAAACATATGCTACACTTTATTCAAAGCTCAATATAATTTTATCTTCTTGTTTATTGATATCGGTTGCTACTGTCCCCGGAAGCCCTACTACCAGAATTACTTTTTTTACTATTTTGTCTCCATCCAACACTAAGTATTATATTTTTGTCTCGTTCATCTATTATTTTAGGATCAAATTAATTCACTTATCTATA